CCCGCCCACTTTTATACCCCGCGGGGGGCATGCGGGGTAGGTAAAAACGCATATTGCCCGCGGGTTATATGGGTGAAAATACGGAGGTAATTATATGAGCTGTGCCAATGTTCAGTTTTAAGTCACAGAGTAAAATAATTCTCTTGAACTTTGTTGCCCTGATGTACATAAGAGGAGGAAATTATATTTCCATTTCTAAATTGTCAATTTTTTTCCTAAAATATGATGTATGACTCTAATCTTACTTCACCAGAAGACATTTATAATTTTAAAATACAGTAAGAATTACTTTAAAAGGAAACTGCTGGACCATTTGTGTTAAAGCTCTTTTCAAGAATGATTATAGTGGAAAATATATATATTTAGATGTTATTCTATGCAATGTTAGAATTTATTTTAATCATAAAATATTTAATATATAAGCACATTTTAATAATTATATACAAATATCTGGTTCTAATTATGATGCAGCAATAATTCAGCTTAAAATGTTCTCTGCTGGTGATATTTGGCAATATCTTACTTTCTTTTAAATGTGAGAATACTGTTTTTGAACATTCACATCTAACTTTATTTTTAAATGCCCATAATTAAGAGTCTTTGAAAACTGTGTGTTTGAAAATGTTCCTTAATTCTCCTTATTTTTCAATCTGTAGGACACCTCATCAGTGATTCAGTTTGTAACACGAGCAAAGGTGAGAGTGGACCCAAGCAAACGGGCAATTGAAGTACCTAATGCGAATTCTGAATATGCAACAGTAAGTGGAAGAATCTGAAGAAGAAGAATTGTTAGTCTTGCATGGAATGCATTAAATGATCCAGCATTTAGCAAGGGATTTGTGGTCAGGCCAAAGAAACAGAAGGAGTATGCTTTTCTTTAAATGTATTAGCATTGATATTACTGCCATAATCCTCTTGTGTTTTTCTTGCTGTAATAAGTCTAGAAGCAAATGATTGTCATCTGAATGTTTGCGCACTAGTTCAGCTTCTTCTTTTTTTAAGACAGAGCAATGGATATTTATTATGCACATATCTGCATTAACAAGGTAAATTACACTGCTCACTCTAAGCTTCTTTATTCATTAGGTCTTTAGAAAATCTACCTAGCATCCAGGTAGCAGAGAAATACACAAACTATGTACCAACCCATGAGTTTGGACAAGGCTTTTGCTATGTTAGAAGAGAAGCCACCCATGAGGACAATCCTGAGATAGGGAGGAGACTTCAGAGGTTACATATTCCATGCGGACCATTTGAACTCGCTTAGCCTCATCCCAAATGTTGTCACTCCAGGTTATGGGTCTCTGAGAGGAGCACCTTAGTGTGAGAAGATGCACCTCTGATGTGGAACATTATTTTTTTCTGTTTATTTTTTTTATTATAGAATAAAATGCAAAATATAACAGCAAATAAGAAGACACGGGGGGGGGGCAGACGAAAGAGAAGTAAGGAGGGATGGAGGAAAAGAAAAAAAATGTTGACTTCCGACTCCCTCTGTTGCAGTAAAATGTCAGTTGGTCTTACCTGAACTGCCTGTGTCAAAGTTGGCGTGGGAGTAGTCACACATGGGTATTAACACAGCCCTTTTGCCCTGGAGACTGAGGTAAATCTTGAGGCCACACCTCCATTCCTC